TGTTCATAGTGAAACACTGGTGAGTATCCTTACAATAGTCAGCTACATGACAGCAAGCACACAAACACACATACAGCGCGTGTTCATAGTGAAACGCTGGCACATGCCAATGTATGGAACGTGTGCGACAGTTTAGAAGCTAAGATTTCATCGCCATGTTCTGAAAAAAGACCCTAGTGTCTTTAAACACTGTTTATTCTTCTCAGTCCACAAGTTTGCTTAACCACTCATGCACTGTACCTGACTGCCCCGGGGGCGGGGCGCCTGACGATCCTCTAGGGAGGCGGAGAAACACAGTCAGGACAGCAGCTCTGTTCCCAGCACAGGGTTCCATGGCGATTGGCTTGGGTGCGCCCTGGAAAAGAAAACCAGTGGTAAGTGTGCATGGGTGACAGGCATATACTTGTCTTTGCACTTCATCTTTTCTTCAGTGAACAAGAATACATTCCTGGTTGCTGGGGCCACACTCGGCTGGCCCAGTGTGGATGTGTAAGTAGCTCTCTCATGTGTGTACATGAGTGTAGTGTAGACATACGAGATCACGAGCACACGTCGCACGTGAGCTGCTGTGTCACAAAGCTGCGGCATGCATCTTTGGTTGCTTCTCCCATTTTCCCTCTCGCAGTCTTGTGCTACATAAACCCATTTACCATGTACGTGATCACAATTCCAAATGTGCTGCCATATCAATTTTTAAATTACGTCCATGTGTGCATGTTTAATACAACAAAACAGTGACACCTTTGCTAAAGTCAAGCAAACTACCATCACTCCACAGAGTCTACACTTTCAGCCTAATTTTAGTATCCAAAATAGTATTTTTCAGCGCAGCCCTCCTGCTGTGCAGCAGCTCTCTCCGTTCATTCACCTTTTCACGCTGGGCTTGTGGCCATTGCCCCGTACCTTCTGCTCTTTTCCTCCCTGACATGGGGAGCACTTCCCGCTCTTTGAGTCTGTGTGGATGACTTAAGAAACCCCCTCTTATAAGTGAGAGTTCACACTGGCATATCTTTAAAATTCCCTTACTAAAACACATATGTAATAACTATCCATCAATACACTTGTGTAAATAAAAAGGGCAGAAATAAGGTGAATGTGCTCAAACCTGAAAACGATGGCATTATATTAATGTCTTACTAGGGACTAGACATGCCAAGGCCTTAAATATATCCTGACTTATGTCTTACATGAACCCTACAAGATGAGAATATCATGGAAGGTTCCTATGTAGCTATTTCCTCCAAATTAAAAGATTCTTTTCTCGCAGGAGGCCACGAAGACTCAGAAAGTAAAGAGGACTTACAAGTCTCAGGAAGCTCCTGAAACAGACAGTTTTCACAAGCTCCTCCCCAAGTAAACATGCAGGAACAGGTGATGGGGAGGACACTGGCCAGCTGAGCTGAACTCCTAGAAGCAACTCCAATGAAGTAACTGGTCCACTAAACTAGACTTGGGTGGAATTGTTTTGGGGTCTGTTGTCGATTCTCTATCTGAGATGAAAAGATGTTTGTTCATGTCTCCTAGGAATTCAAGGAGCAAGTACAAACTCTCCATAGCTTGGAAGAAGAGGAAAGGCATGCAGACTCAGGTATGTCCCTCCTGAGCACAGTACCCCGCAGGCCACTTACAGATGAACACGCACTCCACATGCAAACGCACAACCACAGGCATACATCTGCACGCTTACCCCCGCCTACTTACACACAAATATAGATAGATTTGGGTCTTAAGTATAAAGTGAGCTTGGGCCATCACAGGTTACCATCTTAGCCGAGAACGGCAGCCTGGGCTACATGACTTGAGGAGTTACACGTGTGAGACAGCTGCTATGCCAGGGTAGAATCTTTGTATAAAGGCAAAATTAACCAGAAGACAAATAACAGAGCAATGCCCTTACTTATTAGAACAAACGATTTATTCAGATGTTTTTCTATCGAGAATATCTGAATTTTCAAAGAAATACAGACATATGTGGTCATTCACCTGGGCTATTCTAGAATACTGCCATTTCCAGGAAGCTTAATGAGGCACTAAAGATAAAATATATCCCCTTTTATGTAAGACTTAGACTGAGTTCCGGTTACAACGGTTTTATGTGGATATAAAGGATTTTTCCTTTATAGCAACATAAATCTTATGTTTAACATTATCCTCACATAGATACATTTTGGAAGTTTTCACTATAAAGGTGGCAGTGGCCAGGGTAGAAAGCAAAGAGCATTGAAATGTCCCAAGATAATGCGACTGGCCATGTCACTTCACCTGTTCCAAGTTACGCGCTCTATGTTCTGATACTTTAAAAGCTCACGTTTAATTTAACAGATTAAGCTTTGAACATGGTAAGTCAGAATTAGCATAAATACAGAGATATGACCCACTGATGTAAGCATTTAGGGAATAGGCTTGTCATATTGCAAGACTAACTATGAATTTTCTGACCATAGTTCTAGGCAAATTAAATGTATTTTAATTTGATAAATGCAAAATATATGTAAAGGTCAATTTACTGAAATATACCAAGAGATTGCAAAATGAATTCCGGGTTTAAATGACGGTAATTTATTAGAAATATCAAAACCCCCATCATTGTTGCTAATAAATAATGGATCATTTGTATCAATGGACAAGGCTATCTTGTTATTTTCTTTCCTAACTCCAAGTGTAACAACCAACAGACTTAGTTTATTCAAAGTCCTTTAAAAATTTGATTATAGAAACAAGAGTAGTGGAATTTGAATATGACTAAGGATTTTTGAGAAACAGTGTCGTTTGGTGTGGGGGTTTAGGAAAACAATAAATGGGTTGGGAGTCCATTGTTGCCAGGCTACTGTCCTACTTTTTAACACCACAGGAAAGAGTGTAAATATTGAAGAGACAGATAACTGTTGGCTTCTGGTTGGATACAGCCTAATTATTGGACACTCTAAACCTCAGAGGCTCAGATATGGAAATGGACAAAGGGCTTGAGAAACTGGGCCAGAATTATACCTGTGGACCAGCCACTTCTGTAGAATTATTCTTAGAATGATTCTCTCACTCTCACTGCTGCTGTAATTATATAGAAACTGCTTTTTAAAAACCTCTTTGTTGTTGGTGAGCTATGACAATGGAGATTATAATTCTATTTTTAAATCAAATTGGCATTACAACTTGGTCTATTTTTAGCTCCAAAAATTTTCATAGGAGGATATTAGCAAAATATGAATCATTAATTATATTTAAAATATCAGTTACTAGCCAGTTCTTTGACACTTCTGAAAGAAATTCACATAATTAAAAATTACTGTGAAAGAATTTATAACAAGTATCACCTTAAATATGGGGACTTTAGATTTTAAAAAAGAAGCAGTTTATGACACTTGAATTTTCAGAAAATCGCAACATGGTGCACACGATAACATTTTGGATATCCCGAGGTTTGCCAGTTGTTTTGTGATAAACATACAACCAAGATTCAGAACTGCTTCACAATGACACAACATGCTGGTGGAACCTTGCAATTTATCACGCCTTTTCCATGACTGCCTAGGGAAGAAATAAGGCCCAGGCGAGTTGCCTGCAGCTCGACAGCTGGGTTTACGTCGAGGTGGGTTCCCGATTGTTGTGCTGCGGAAAGCTGGTGGGAGGAAACACCCCTGACAGCGATGAAGGGCTCTAGCCTAGCAAGCACACAGCACGCGGTGCTCACACAGAGCCGGCTGCCTTAGTGGAGGCTGTGCCAACTGCAGAACCGACCTGCAACTCATCGTGAAGACGGGCCACAAACTTTACGGTTAACTCTTCCCAGGGTTTTAGTTCTTAAAGACAATACCAGAGCAGCTTTGGGAACACACACTTCCAAGGCTTATCTTAGAGTGTAGTATCTCCTGAGAGCGAGACAGCCGTTGGAAGCGGAAGCCGCTGCGACACGAGTCTCGCAGCAGGTTTAGAACACGCCAAGGGGCAAAGCCAGCTAGAGGCTGGTTCTACGCCTGCTCAGAAATCCCAGTGAGGCAGATCTCTGGAAGCCCGCAGGGCGGCTGGGGACTTGAGGGGACAGCTGATGTTTCTAGACTAGCTGTTCACGTGCGAGGCTGTGACAGGTGGCAAGTACAAGTTCACAGTCAGAAGGCAAAATGGCGACCAGACCTAAGATGTGTGGACTCTTTGAGGACATTAAGTTTCAGACTATTTGCCAACCAATGTCTGTGGGTCAGAACGGGCCTGATGGTTGCCCCATGTTGTCTGTAGCACAAATCAGCGTTCCTGGGCATCCGGCAGGGCGCCTCTCCACCCGAGGACCAGATTCGCCTCTGTTGGTGCGAGGGCGCAACCCTCACCCCTGGTCACTAGTCCCGGAATCTGTCTTCTTAATCTACTACCTGTCTGGGATCTAGGACGTTGTCCTTCAGAGGTTACTGTCATGATTCACGTCCCTCAGAGCCATGGCAGAGCCATGACAGACCCACGGCAAGGGTCACCTCGCCACGAAGCTGTCCCTGGCTAAGGTAGCTGGCTGCTTCCTTTCAGGGCTTCTCCTACCACGCTCCAGCTCCACTTCCGTTAGCTCACTGGCTTTCCATCCCACTTGACCAAGCTCTTGATGAGCAGGCCCTTCCTGTTTCTTTCCCCTTTCCTTCTTTCACCCTGCTTTGGGTCAAACCATGGCCTTCAACCTGCTGTAAAAACTCTGCCACTGAGCGGCACCTCAGCGTTTTGGTTTTGTTTCGTTTTGACAGTGTCTTGCTTGCAGTCTAGGCTGGCCTGCAACTCACGATCTTTTTGCTTGAGCCTCCCCAGTGCTGAAGTCAGAGGTGTGTGCCACCACATGAAGCTCCTCAACCTGGTTTCTTACTCCTTACGGGGCCCATTTAGTACTTCATCTATCCGAAATGGCCGAGCGTTGTGCCAGCTTGGGGGACTTGTGCCCCTCAGTCTTCCGCTATAGGTATCAGCGCACATGCTGGGTGCCCATGACGGCCTGAGGCAGGCCTTCGGTTAGCTGTGCCTGGCCTGGAGCACCTCTGCAGTGAAGAGTGTACGTGTGAAAGGGGAGATCTGAGCAGATCGGCTTGTCACAGGGGTAGCGGTGAGCCGACAGTATGACGTGACACACCCAGTTCAGGGTATGAGACGGACAACAAAATGCTGAAACTAAGAACTACCGGCACGTACTGTGTACGCTTACAAGTATTTAATGCATGTTGCTAGGTATAACTTGGCTACAGACTTCCCAGAAGAAGCCAGTGTTTTCCGTTGCGCTGTGAAGAAGCTGAACTGGGAAAGGCCTGCTGACACTGCAGCATGAGCAGCCGGGCAGATTTGGGGTTCAGGTATGTAGTCCTTGACGAAAGTTCTAGCCGAGACACTGTCAGG